ATATGTCATACACAAACATTTACATTCTGAAATCTAATTTCCCTCTTTTTTGAACCCTTTATGATGCCTGCATTCCTTGCTCAAAGCGGGTGAGGAGCTACATATGGAAGCCACAGCCCCCAGACAGGTGCCCCGAGGCTGAGCTTTAATCCCAAGAGGAGAGAATTCGGGCCCCACTCACACCTCAGCACAGCACAGGGCGCCTGTAGTATAGCTGTAGGCTGCTGCAGACATTTGGGGGAGCATGTTGGTTAATCTCTCTCTCTCTCTCTCTCTCTCTCTCTCTCTCTCTCTCTCTCTCTCTCTGTGTGTGTGTGTGTGTGTGTGAGTGTGTGTGTGTGATTTCCTTATTTCTATCCTGTGGCTTGTCTATTTTTGTAAGAGTGTTTTTCACACAGAGCAAGCTTTTAAATTTTCATGAAGTCCAACTTACTCTTGTTCATGTTTCCTTAGGCATGGGTTGTGCATAACAATTTTCTTTCAAAGAACCCAGAATGGCCCAGCTGGTGTTGCTCAGTGGTTGAGCGTTGACCTATGAACTAGGACAGCCGTGAGCAAACTATGGCCCGCGGGCCAGATCCGGCCCGTTTGAAAAGACTAAAACTAAAAAAAAAAAGACCGTACCCTTTTATGTAATGATGTTTACTTTGAATTTATATTAGTTCACACAAACACTCCATCCATGCTTTTGTTCCGGCCCTCCGGTCCAGTTTAAGAACCCATTGTGGCCCTCGAGTCAAAAAGTTTTCCCACCCCTGATAGGAGGTCATGGTTTAATTCACAGTCAGGGCACATGACTGGGTTGTGAGCCCAACCCCAGTGTGGGGCGGGCAGGAGGCAGCTGATCGATGATTCTCTCTTATCATTGATGTTTCTTTTTCTGTCCCTCTTCATTCCTCTCTGAAATCCATAAAAATATATATTTTAAAAAAGAGCACAGAATGGAAAGGGGACAATAGCTGCAGGGTGGGAAAACCTGACCAAAGGTGCTTCCCCCATAGGCGAGTCATGTGGGCACGTGCGCTGGGCCTGCACCCTGAGGAGCATGCCCCTAGTGGCCTCTGGGGTCCGACTCCAAAATCTCTCCCACCCTACTCTGACCATGAGTGAGACCTTATACACATCGCCGTTGAGGGGTTTTCTACACAATACCTGACAGAAACTTTCCAAAACTGCCAAGATCATCAAAAGAAAAGAAAGGACTTTTTTTTTTAATTTAAGAAACTGCCACAGCCCAGCAGGGCCTAAAGAGCCATGACAGTTCTATATTCTGTGGGATCTTGGATGGGATCCTAGAAGAGAAAAAAATGCATTTAGTAAAATCGCAGGGAAGAGGAATAAAGGATGGTCTTCAGTTACAGAAATGTGTCAAGCCTGGGTCATTAATGATGACGAATGTGCCATTCTTAGGTAAGATGAGGAAATTAAGTGAAACTCTATTGAAGGCATATGGGGACTGTGTGTACAGCAGCCAATACCACAATAGCCGTCCAGTGTGAATGAATCAAAATTATCCCCATTTTTTATTTGTTTTTTTGCCAGAGCAGAAAAAAAAGTATAACATATTTTGGTGTAACATAGAATTTTAGTAACTAGTTTATGTGTCATGAGATGAGAAAGGTGGAAAATCACTGTCTTCGTGTCCAACAGGGTAGGAAAATAGGGCAGAGCATGTACCTTGAGCAACATTCTCAGCTCACGTAGGCATCAGCCGATTGGCCTCCACAAAGCTCCCTTCATCCAGCCAACCCTTCTGCGTGGGTCTGCAGGCCTCGCTGTGTTGTTTCTCATCACTGGGCATTTTTCATTGCAGAATCTATTAAATGAAAATCGCCAGGATTTATTTCTAGAAGACGCAAAGTTTTTACTGCTATGTGTTCGAGTTAGAGCAGAAAATAGGACTAAAGTGATGCAATTGTACCACAGATTTTCTTTTGATGACGATATTATCCATGGTACTTCATTCACTTTCAGGAGATGCTATGTGACCCAGGCACTAGCATGGATTCTTCTGTAATACTTCTTCCTAAGAAAAAAAATAAAACCAGCAAAATAGAAGGTAAAAATCTGAAATGTGTACATTTGTAAATATATACACAGTTTTACATCGTATTATATATTACATACATTTATATAAATATTACATGCAAGTATTTTGTCAGGCCAAATTAAAAAACAAACAAACAATACAAAACATTGTTTTTTAAAGAATATATATTTTTTTATTTCAGAGAGGAAGGGAGAGGGAGAGATAGAATCATCAATGATGAGAGAGAATCATTGATTGGCTGCCTCCTGCACACCCCCAACTGGGGATCGAGCCTGCAACCCAGGCATGTGCCCTTGACTGGAATCAAACCTGGGACCGTACGGTCCGCAGTCTGACGCTATATCCACTGAGCCAAACCAGCTAGGGTAATACAAAACATTCTTAAGTTTAAAAGGGAATAAATGCCAAGCGTAAAAATCATTAATTAATGGAGAGATAGAGCATTTTTTCAAGGGATATGTAAACAGGAGAAATGGCTGGCATTCACCACCTGCTGGCCACCGGCAGCTCTACTGTAATCCTCAAACTGAGCCTGTTTTTCTCTTCTGCGTTCAATAATGAAGCTGTTCGCCAGAGCCTCCCTGGCATTTTACCTTTATTAGGCAGCTCTGTCCACAGCAAACAATACGGTGCTCACTCAATTCCAGAAGCTCACCTCTTTATTCCTTTCATTCTGAGTTGTCTGCTCATTGTTCAGTTCCATAAGGAAAGACCTAAATGTCATGAAAGAATCGAAGGAAGAGCTGTTGAACAAACATTACTTGAGTAATAAAAAGAAGTGCTTAAACTCAGGGCACAAAACAAAAATAAGAGGTATTAATAAACTATTTTTACAATACAACTTTTTGAATGACGCAGACATACTTCCTCATGATATATATAAATTTCCTCTAGACATTTTACTTTTTGCCATAAGAAAAAAAATATATGACCTAATCAAAAACCAGAAAGCAAATTATGAAGTAGGGATTTATTTTCTCCAATCATATAGAGCATTTTACTGCTATAGATTCCATGTGAAATTCTCAATTCCCCCCCCCAATATGTATATGTTTACATATCTGTGTACACATTTGCACATTGTAAGCCTGTAAACAATTTCATAAATAGCAGATTAACCACTTCAGAAGGCATGCTACCAGGACATGATCTGGGGGTCAGAGCCAGAAATAACGGCTATTCGCCGGGGAATGGAGCTGGTGTCTGCTGGGTCGTTAGGCATTGTGATGGGAGCAGGAACTGCTTTGCGTGGTTTCATGTTCCACACAATACACCCCCATCTCACCTCGTTCAGACGTGAGCTACATCGCTGCTTTTGTCAGATCTGATACCAGTGGACATGTCAGCTTTGCCCAGAGCTCAGCCAACACTTAGAACTACTGTCACATTGTCCTCTTTTCCGCATTTGCTGCATCCCGCTGCACAGGGGAGAGCGGCAGCTGTGCCATTGTTGTCTCATCAGAACAGGACAGAAAGCCAGACGAGGGACAGAAAAAGTGTGACTTGGTCGTGATAGAGTTTCTGGAGGTTTTGTTACTATATAATAGAATTGAAAAGACTTTACGTTTTATAGGATATAGTTTCTATTTGGGATGGATTCTCTGTTAAAGGAATAGCCAAATGGCTGGGTTACTATAGCAGATTTGACATGATTTCTGGGACACTTGAGCGTGTAGGCATTCCTGTTATCACTTTGTTACATCGTGTTGTAATTATTAATTTACATATTGTCTTCCAGTTATCTGTCATCTACAAAAGGGACAGGAATCCTGTGTTGGCTACCATGAGCATAGTCTCCAAAGTACAGCACACACTCAAAATGTTTTAAAACGGTGAATGCTGAATTAGATTCAATCAGTTATTCTTTTGAGGGGTATTATTTTTAGCAGTAAGAACAGCCTGGCCAGCATACTTCAGTGGTTGAACATTGGCCCAGGAACCAGGAGGTCATGGTTCGATTCCCCGTCAGGGCACATGCCCAGGTTGTACACTCGATCCCCAATACGGGGCATGCAGGAGGCAGCCAATCATTGATTCTCATCATTGATGTTTCTATGTCTCTTCCTCTCTTTTCCTCTCTAAAATCAATAAAAACATATTTTTTTAAAAAGAATAAGAACATTAATATGACTTGCAGAAGTGGTTCAAAGTTGTTGTTTTTTTTTCAGTTTTAAAGGGAAAATGACAATGATTCCCATTGGTATATGTCAGCCCTTCAACAAATTCAACAAAATGCACCTCTGCCTTTGTCTTATTCAAATTATTTTTCACAGTTAACTAGGCATGAATCTGAAATGCTAATGAATTAATTTCAGCTGTCAGGACAGACTCTTCTTCCACTATCCAGCTGCCGGGGTGGAGTTCATCTCCTGGCAGAACAAACTGGAAGCCCTACTTCGGCACAGTTGCTCAAATGCCTTTTAGTTACTTCATGCCTTTGGCCATTGTTATGGTGTGCAGAGTTCAGGATGCACATTATATTTGGGGCTCACCCCTCTTTGTGCTCTAGTCCGAACTCAAAATCAATAGATCTGGGCATAATAGATTTTGTTTCCAATTCCTACCACTAAAACAATTAAGTCTGGAAACAACACACTTGGTGAAAATGCTAATCCCGTAACCTGAGGACGTACACAGGTGACCAGGTTGCACTGCAGGCACTGCGCAGGGTCCTGCCATTTGTCAGTCTCATGAGGCTGATTCTCCTGTGTCTGTCTGGCTGCTGTTTCATGACTTGGCTCAATCATTGGTGAGAGGCTATGCTATGCCAGCAACCGTGGTGGCTATTAACATTCAACCACAAGTAAAATCCAAGCTTGTAGTGGAAGAGAGACAAGTAAATAGTCGCTAAGGATATAGACCATCCTGAAGAATTGATATGTTCTCCCAATATACCTGAGACCCATCAACTCCTTTCCCTGTTTACTGACGTCATTGTTTCTCCATGCAGACTGTGCCGGACCTGAAATGCTAACCTGGAGCCGAGCAGTTTCTTTTGGCCCGACCAGTTTTTCTTCCCTACACATTTTAGCTGGAGTTATATTTTAAACAGGCAAATCTGAAAACTTCATGCAACCGTCAAACTCTCCAAATGATTTCTCATTGTCTTTGGAGAAGCTTCTAAGTCATGTGCATGTACTGTAGGCTCTTAGACTGTTTGCCTCTGGCTCCCTCTTCAATCTCATCCTCTCATACCCGTGCATTTGTCTCCTGTGCCCAAGCCACTTAGGACTTTTCTCTGCTCCAGGCTTACGCAGAGTTGCTTCTCACATCTGGACCATGCCAGGTGCTACCGCCCCCCCCCCCCCACCGCCTCATAGGGTTGTTGGGAGGCTCTGAGGTTTCCATGGGGTAAAGGATAGACACGGAGTAAATGCCATCAGATGATGCTCATTAAATATTATTTTTGGTCCCTTCTATCCATCCTGTCAGTATGGCATAGTCAGGGTCTTCTGGGTAATTATTTGGAAAGTAAATCACTCATTGGCATGGGGCAGGAGGAAATGATAGACGACAGGGGTAGTGAATGAGAAGCAAGGTGTAAATACAGTTCTTGCTTAGGAAAATGGATGCTGCTTTGTTGGGCCCACGTTCTATTTTTTTTTTTTTTACCCATTATTCCTTCTAAAAATTTTAATCAACCTCATTGGTTCAAAGGTTGCATTGAATACATTATTCTAAGGGCACTACATGAAGATCTCACCTTTTTACAATTCTGAACTAAGTTTGTTAAACACGTGTAATGTATAACAATTACCAAAAATAAAAATTCTAGCCATTGCCTTCTCTTAAAATGTCTTATTCTCTTTTACAATGCATTTAGATATGAGAATCATCTTGAGTTTCAAATTTAATTCCTACCAGAAAAATCTTTCAGGTTCTTCTTGTTCATTCAAAGTATCTAAAGAGGCTAAAGCCATTAACCCCGTATCAGACTTTGTTTCAGGTCTAATTGAATGGGAAGGAATATTACAGGTTTGTCTTGCTACAAGAAAGTGATGCGCCAGACACAATTCTTTTGGAAGAGCCGCACACTATTGAGATTCAGCTGAAACACGAAATGATGACCCTCACTAAGCTAAGTGTCTGAATGAGGACTGTGTCACGTACAGATGTCTTTTTAACAATTTCAAGTTGAATTAGAGGGGGAAAAAGATGTCAGATGCCATAAAATAACCTGAAAAGACCTCAGGCATTTGGCAGAGCAGGATATTTTTAAATCTTTCTACCCATGTATTTTCTAGCTTTAATAAAAAATGTCTTGAGCATAAAATTAAAGCCAAGAGAGGCAAAGGCAGGTATGCTCTTGTCTCGTGAGCTGTATGCTCCTTTCTGTCTTTGCAGGCTTACCTTGTTGCAGTACTAAGACTGAATCACTCAAGAGGCTTAAGGACAATTCATACACTTGAGTTCTTGTCTGAGGTTAGTGGGCGTGGAACGCAGAGAACCAGGTGTGATTCCTTATGCAAAATTCTCACCTGAGCAGCGGGGGCCATGCCTTCAGAGGCTCCTATAGTGCACTGTGTAGAGGCCTTGTTAGAATACAGGCTCATTGCCCAGCCCGCGTGGCTCAGTGGTTGAACATCGACCTATGAACCAGGGGGACACAGTTCGATTTCCAGTCAGAGCACATGCCGGGGTTGTGGGCTCGATCCCCGGGTGGTGGAGATGGGGGAATTTGGGGTGGGGAGGGAGGATGCAGGAGGCAGCCAATCTATGAGTCTCTCCCATCATTAATATTTCTATCTCTCTCCCTCCCTGTCCAAAATCAATACAAGTATATTTAAATTTTCTAAATTTAAAAAATAAATAAAATACAGGGTCACAATTCTATACATAGGGATGAAGGAACATTTGCTGAATGGGGAGTTCACCGTTCATCCCACGGTGTGTCCCAATTCCAACAAGCAAAGGGGTGGCCACCTGGACCTTGAACCTGAGCCCATTTTCGACGGCTCTAGTACCAGGTGTCCTCCTGTGGCGGGCACACAGGTGAGGTTTAGGAGCCTCGCGGTTTTCTGTAATTGCTGCAAATGGCAGCCTCTCAAGGCCGTGGCAGTGTTCCCTAAAATGTGCATTAAAAATTATTGTTGTACCTCATTCTTATGTTTCAGTCTTTTTCATGGGTTTATTTTCTATGGGAAATAATTTAAACAGGATTCTTGTTGATGGTTTTCTATTTTATTATTATTAGACAGGGATGACAGTTCCCAACAAAAGATCCTCTTAGACGAAATAATTGGTAGTGACACTAAATGAAAATGAACATAGATGGTGATTTATTATCACAGGAATTTTCATTAGTTTGTAGTGTGCAATGACTAAAACTAGTTTTTCGGAAAATATTATGCTAAAAGTTTAGGCTTGACTGTGCATTATTCAAAGTTAATAAATGAATAAATTAATGTGAACATTGTGTATCCACATGCCAGTTTTTCTCCCACTATTAAGCTCCGTGATTTAGTAATAATGTGCGTTTAAACATCTCCTTTTCTTTAAACTGCTATTACTTTGCTATTTTACAGGACAAAATTAAGATTATTTGTTTTCATTGAACTTCATCTTAATAATTTTTATCATGTTTTACATTTATATTCATACATTAAAATGCACTTGTTTGTTCCAGTAAAATTTTATGAACATGATTACTATTTTAAGTGCGCCTAACATATATAAAATTGTGCCTTCTGTATTTTCAAATATATGTTCAATGACTAAGGGAATTTGTTAAATTCATCACAGAAAGCTCATTTTAGGGTGACCATAATCCAGTTGGATATGATCTAAATAGTGGTAAGCGTAGTGGTGTTCCCTGAAAAATATTTTAACGATTCAAAAAAGATCAAATTTCAATGGAGTTGAGCTTGATCAGTGGTGAAGTATCAGTAAGATATCACAGAAATCCATCTTCTGAAATTTCCCTTAGAAGGATCCATGGAATTTGCCTTAGAAGGATCCATTCCATCCTCCGCTTAAAAATGAAGATACCTCCTTATAGGATTTGGGGGGAGGATCAAATCTGGGCAAATTGATGGGAAGTGGTGTCGGGATGGTTTCAGAGCAAGATTGGGCTGTGGGAAAGGGACTCCCCGTCAGACCGGGGCTCAGCAGTCCATTCAGTGCAGAAGCCCAAGGACATGAAACGCTGTCCTGTGAACTCTCTGAAGCTCTACACGGGGCTTAGAGATCGTGTCTGTCTGTGTCCAAGTAGCCTACCCTTCAGGCCACGACCAGAGGCTCCATTTTTACACGTGGGATGTTAAACAGCTGAACCACCTATCATCTTAGAAAACATGGTTTTTAGCACTATGTGTTCTTTTGCTGTCTAACAGAAACAGTCTCTACTGGTTCGCACAGAACATGAGATGGAAAGAATTAGGTAAGGTCTTAACCTCGAACTCAAGAACATGAGTTTTCCTGCCAGCCTCCTACATAACAACTTCAAACAGGACCGGGCGTTCTCAATACTTAATAGTTAATATAGTATAAACATAGAAGAAAATGCCATCGACCAATTTAAAATTGAAACAAACGTGTTAGTTAAATGGAACTAAATTTCTAAGTAGAAAACTATCATTTGCGTGTAAGATAGACTTGAAAATTTATGGAAAGCTTAATAAGTTGAATAATAATTTTATAGCACAAGTAGCCACGTACACTTTTAAAACAAACAAACAAGGCCACCAAAGCTTATATTAAAGACATTCAGGAAAATAAACTTCCTTACTTTTTCCCCAGAAATTCCTATTTCTGTGGAAGTTCCAAGTGTATCCCATTACATTACAAACGCCATTGATTCTCCTAACACCATTTGCCTGAGTTCTTAAAGCCCGTTTTTTTCCACTGAGGGACATGGCGCCTCGCGTATTTCTCTGTGTTATGGTCAGGTAGGGAAGACTAGCCTTTGCACAGCAGCTGCGGGCTGTGCTGTCTGTGGCTATATCATCAACCTGGAAGAGAAATAGCCAAGACGATGTGCAAGTGAGATATGCTCCAGAAATTTATTTGGGGAAGTGAAATGATTACTCATCCGCCACTGCTGAGACATAATTCAAGGGCCAGATAAGACCTGTGTCCTTGGGGCTGATTCAGCAAGCAGATACTGGTGTTATCTTTGGCAGAGGATACCTATGAAAGACCCATTCTCAGAGCCAGCGCACCCGAGTCCCCAGCGGAAGCTCTGCTCTCACCTTGCAGTGGGTGGGAGTTCAGCACAGCAGTGCTTGTCAGCCAGGTTGGTCAGCAGCTGCCAGGGCAGTTTAGGGACTCGGAAACGGGGCTTCACAGGTTTGCATTTCAGATCGTAGCTGAACTCCTCGGCAGGTCATAGGAAGCTCTTTATAATCCGGTGGCTAACTCCTCCCTTTCCAGTTCTGCGATTGTCTTTAGTGACTTTGAGCTTCTCCTATTCCTGAAGTGTCCCTGGGTCCAAGTGCCTTCTCAGCCACGTCTCCTACAGGCAGATCCTCACCTTTATATCATTTACAGAATCATTTCTCCTCTGTCGCATGTTTTCCAAACAGCCTGAGTTAGTGAAATCTCTCTTCCTGTCTTCCTCCACGATTCCATCTGTAGTCTGAATTTCTCCTAAAGAACTGACTACACTGAATTGTAATCATCTGTGCACATGACTGTCCTCCCCACTCAGTTCCGAGTTGATTGACCCCTGGATGGGTGTCTGCTCATGAACAGATGGACCCAAAACCAACTGTGCCTACTCCTAATGGGATTGAGCTGGTGGAGCAGGGAGGGAGGGGTGAGGGCCAACAGGACAGGCCTCCACTATGACTCTGTCCAGGACCACTTTTTATATCATCTGATGAAACACAGAGAATTGGCTCCATCAAACATTTCCTCATAAAATAAGCAATCTCACTGAAGACATTATACAGGCATTTAAACGGAGCCTAGGAGAGATTGTGAAGTGGGAGTTACTAATGCAGAACCAAATTACTTGGGTGCCAACCAACCTGGGGATACTTAAGATGCATTATCCTAGTCCTGTGTCATCAGAAAAGCTCCCATTTTCAAGAAGAGAAGGGAGCATGGGCTGGAGGGAAGAGCAGGGGAGGACTTCCCTTTTTCCCCAGGACTCATTCCATCCCAGGGCCAGGGTGTGTGTGATCGTGGGCCCTGACTCATCACCCACTTCATGTGATAGGACACCCACATTTAGCAGCAGTTTAGTTTAGCAGCTTTCAGAAGCTGCCAGAAATCCTATTATGCGAAGGATCTCTGAAGGAATACGTCTTCCTCGCTGTAACGGGCTTACAAATACAGGTGTAATCCAGCGTCCGCAACAAATGTTATCTCCACCGTAGTGTTATGATGAGCAGAAGCAAGCTGCTCTGCCTCCAGGTCTACAGAAAATGCATTAGAGAGAACAGACCGTATCTGTGCCTATGATACCGTGGACTCAGTAGGCAGTTGTGTGTGGAAGAAAGATCCTCATCTCCAGTGATGCTCATTCATCTGGAAAATGTTTGCTCCTCATCCCTGTGAGGCCAGAGATGAATTCAGGCCCTGAGGATAGAGTGATGACTACAAAGGGGCAGAAACCTCAGTCTCTCTGGGAGGCAGATACCATTTATTTATTTGTAAAAATAAAGAGGTAATATGCAAATTAGCCTGGACACCATAACAGTTACAACTGGTCAGGAGGAGGCTGCACATGCAGGTGAGGCCCAGAGCGGAGACGAAGACAGAGACAGGGGAGCCTGCCCAAGCCGCCATGGCCGAGGG